AACTCATGCGACGCGCTCGCACGGGGGCTCGAATGACCCTTATAATTAGGCTGCCCGCACGCACGGAAGGGCTACTTCGCAGCCCGCCCGCACGACCCAATGCTCTGAGCGTGGTCTCGCAACGATAACATTACAACGGAGCAGGTTTTCTAATTCAGGAAGCTGGAAGCTACTGTTATTGTAGAAATTGCAAATTACTGCAAACAAGACCAAGACTATTTATGTGCATGCCATTTTGTTGAGGAGAAACGAGAATATCTGCGAGATTTGAACTTTGATCTAAATGCCTCTCAACACATTGATCGAATTTGAGGTTTAACTTCTCCAAATGCAGAATGGTCGAATGAAGTCTTTGTAATCTTAGAGGGGTGCTGAGAATACTCTAAAGGAAGTTGTAAACGAAATCTCCTTGTAGAAAATTGGTTCTGAAACAAATAAGGCTGCCTGTAAGAGAGTTTGGGGCTGTATACCAAATTAAGATGCGTATAATATAGTACTTTTCACCTTGTCAGACTGAATGCAAGAATGCTGTATATCAAAATAAAGATGCGTATAATATAGTACTTTTCACCTTGTCAGACTGAATGCAAGAAAAACGCGTCCCATCCATGAATGGCTTTTACCTTTGCAGCAGTCCTACAGAGTTCGCATCGAAGTCGATTGGTGAGGTGCTCCTCCTACTCTGCGAAAATATTTCTGACCTAGACTTCGCTTATCCGAGAATCACGAACGTGAGAGTTTGACGATTTGCCTCTAAAGAACCTTTACCACATTAATTATTTCGCAAATTGTCCACAGGTAGTTGCTGTTTTTTTCTCCTTTAAAATAGATTCGGAGATGATCAAACTCTTGCTCCAAATGTTTGTTAGGGCTCATCGATTTTTAACATTATCTTGATTACTTGTAGGATAGAACTAGCTCAAATCTGTGTTAATTCTCTAGTTGTGCACAATAATTATGTGTTAAGATCTTATGTCATTTCAACAGTACAAATAGCGCGTTGCCCGTTTACCATGGTCATGTAATTCAACCAAAACACAGAAGAAAAACAAGAAGAAATAAAACTTCATTGCAACCATTCAATTCATTCAATCCACCAATTCATTGCAATTGAAAAGTACTCAACTTATTTCAAAACTAGTTTTTTACATATTTTTCGCAAGTAAGAGTTTTGTCGAAGTTTGTTCTTGCTAAACAACCCAAGTCTACCCCCTCCTCGCCCCATATAAAAGTACCAGTTTAACCCAAAGAAGTATCTCCGTGGCTCCGTGGCTAACGCTAAGTTCGCTGCGGGCAAATTGCGGCGTTTCCGGAAGTTACCCCATCAAAAATCCTAGGGAAGGCAAAAATCAGAATATGTGAGTTTCTTAACATTTGACGTTTCGGCATAAAGGCAGCGGCTCGGCAGAATTTCGTTTTCCAGTTTTTCACCTTTCGGGGCCTTCTCGCCATGAGGAACCCATATTTTCGATCTTCAACGCACGAAAATTGCAAAAATGCGCTTTTTCCGGAGCTTTTCAGGTCAGTTTTTAGTGCAGAAGTAGGCGTGGCTTGGAACGAAAAAGGCGGGCGCGGCTTTCTCCGGCGTATTTTCACTGAATGTGGACCTAAAAAACTTCGAAAAGGCGCATTATTGCCAATTTCATGCGCTGAAAAGCCCAGATATGGGTTCCTCATGGCAAGAAGGCTCCGAAAAGGTGAAGAAGTGGAAAAGGAAATTTTGCCGGGCCGCTGCCTTCAAGTCAATCCTAAGCAATCTTATAAGCATGTGAAATCAGAAGACGTTGTATTTTGCTTAGATGCACTAGAAAGCTAAAAACTTCTTGAAAAATCCGAAATGTTTTCGAAACGCCGCTATGATTAGACCGATTATGGGTGCACGCAAGCGACTACCCCAAAAATTACGAACATTAATGGGAAAAAGAATCACAGGAAGCTGAGCATATACAATCAACATTCTAAAGGCACCCAAGCACGTTCGCATACCCAAACCTTTTTGTGAGGTTTGAAAAGTTGGTAACCGCCATTATAAAGTTTGTTTTTACACGAGTAGCACAGCAGCCTATCGAAGATCTCCTCTAAAGGGTTTCAAATACCCTTGCATTTCAGATGCTCTGAAATTCAACAGTATTTGGATCAATCTGTTCAATCTGTGCGTTGTTGCTTCATGTTAGTCCTTTGCTAGTTCTAATTTGTAAACAATCAAATTATTTCCTGAAATTTTTCTAAAAATTGGATTGTTGTGTGAAAAGGATTCCTCTCGGTGCGTGATCCCAGAAAGTTTTCCGGACTTCTCATAAAAATAACTTCTGAACCCTCCCTCTCGGACCAGCACTGAAATTAACATATTTTTTACACTTTTGGGAGTGGAAACAACACAGAGTTCCAATAAGTCGTTCTCATTTGACAGGTCACTTTGTGTAATTGCACTGATTGAGAGTGGCCGAATAGCATCTTTTCGTCAGAATATGTCGTCCCTCAAAAGTTTTTTTTGTGAGAAAAAGTGTTGGGGTGTGACACATCAAAAAGTGTGGTTGCCCCTTTTTCGCGGTTTTGTCAAACTCAACGCTTTTGTCACAAAGAATATTCAGCGGAAAATCATTTTACTTCGACGGCTGGAATATCGTAGCTTTCGTGGATATCCTTTAAGTCTGATATCTCTTCATTCGTCCGAGCAATGATCGCTGACAGCATAAATGAAAACAAAAAATGAGACAAACAAGTTTTTGGATATTCCTGGTTCCACAGTTGAAACTTCACAAACCACTAAAATTTGAGACAAGGGTGTTATTTGACATGCTGACAGTTCGTTCTTGTTAGGGCCTTTTTCTTATGCTTGCGGTAGATAAACGGTTAAACAGAGGAGTCTTATTCAGATACAACACAGGAGGGGTTGGGGTCGATTCCAGCGGTTATGCCACCTCTTGTTCGACCCTGCTCATAACTTCTACTTCGCCCCAAAAATCTAGATGCAAGGTTTCGTTTTACTTTGGTGCTTCTTTGTACCGTTTAGCGGCTGTTGGAGATATGCGTGCACTTCAAATAAAAGTGTACTTACACGATCAACCTTATTATTACCAGTGTCGGGAGCAGCAGCACCTCCGCTCCTGCGCGGCCGCTTCGCCTGGAATCTGCATCTCTTTCGCGAACATGCTCTCTGATCACTTTCCCAGGGCGAGCATGGGAAAGGCGAGCCTCAATCGATTGGAAGTGATTAGAGAGCATTCTCGCGGCAGAGACGCAGAGACGCGCGGGGAGTGGAGATGCTGGTGTATCCGACACTGCAATTGATAAGCCCGGTGTCCTTTGATTCAACTGGCTTGGCGATTGGAGGGCGGGGCCGCGTGACCTAATTAAGGCTGGGTGATGATCAGAGAGCACGTGCGCGGGAGAGACGCAGAATGCGTAACGGGCGCGAAAGGCCTTCATTCACAAAGCCCCGCCTTCCAGCCGCCAAGGGATCAACGGTTACATATTACTCGAGATTGGCACTTGCTCATTTGAGTAAATGTGTGATTACTCTAGTGTTCACTAATGATCTAACTCATCTAGCTCCCATGAGGTGGAAGAGATAACACATCAAAAAAATTCTGCTAGAGTAAATGAGTTTTTTCACGATGTTCGTCTATGAGTGATAATCGAAAGTACCAATTAAGCACAGCAAATGTCTGATGGTGAGAAGCTTAACACGTTGACGACCGTGTGCATCCGCGCGTATGTACGCCCTGACCACCTAGTACACTTTCGTGCATCAATTTATCATGTGTAAACGAAAAGTTCTCAGGTAACTTCTATGCATTGATAACACTGGTGACCTGGTTGTCATATAGAACACACGGCATTGCGGTAGCTGTTAAACAGTCCAAACCGCAGCCGTAGATCATCAGTCCATTTTGAGGTGGTCAAAAATGGCTCGGTCGTCAACGTGTTAAAGGCACTGTCCACCCAGATTCTCGACTTCCATGTTTTGACTGTTCCGAGGCCTTCTCGTGTCCCTGATTCCGAATATGAAGTCGAGAATCCGCGAAAACCCCATTAATCTCCCTTCCGGAGAACCCTCAGGCCGGCTTTCCGGTGATTGGCTGGACGCGCACGGGTGGGCGGGCATGGATGGGGGTCCACGTGCATCTTCGCTATTACGGAGCGATTTTCTCGCTTCTGAAGCGGCATTTTGCCCTGCGCTTTGGGCATTGGCTTGATAGGGGGCCCTACTATTACATGATGCTAAAAGGTCAATACCCTCAACTTAGGGTGGACGATGCCTATAGAGGCAGTGTCTCAAATTTGCTGGCCAAGATCTTTGCATTTTACAAGTCTATCGGACATCGTCCAACAGTGTAGAGGTTTAAAACCGTACAAAGTTCTCAAAAACCCCGTTTTCTGGAGGCTCCGCGGAAGCATCGTGGACGAGTTGTGCCTTCCAACTCCAGCCTCGCCACAGTGGCAGCAGCACGATGGAGGTGGACGCCAAGTGGAGGTACATGTTAAAACGTGTAAGGGTGAAGACCGGAGCAGTCGTCCGCGCTTACCAAATCACTCTCCGCGTACCACTTTGAGCAAATTTTTCTCAGCGTGGAGGAGGCCAAATCGAGTCGGACTTGTTGCAGTGGCCTATTCGAGGGGCCCTCTAATAGGATGTGTGGAAATCCGCACTATCGTTTTGGTGAGACACTGCCTTTAATGCTCTTAGCGCTTTGACTTTGCATAAATGCAAAAAATGATTATGCTACCTTTTTGGTGTCTGGCCTTATGCTAAACCATTGGTTACAACGATTCTTCAGCAGCTGAATGTCTAAACATTCTTAGCGTCACAAAACGAATATATAGTGAATGCCAACAACATCTTTTAGCAATACATTATTGTACACTTGGAGCAAATATGATCGCAAAATATATTCATATCCGTGGCATTTCCATCACATTTCACCTCTTCTCAATCGTCTCTTATTCTTCCTTCATATACATACTGTGATACAGGACAGACTCCACTACATTCCAGAATGCTGTGGGTTTCCCTATTAACGCTTGCAATGGCTTGTGCAGTTGAGGAGGATTTGGAGTATTTGGAGTGGACTGCGCCATGGAAAATCTGTAAGGTAGACATGGACTTGTATTGTGACAGCGCAAAGAATGCCCCTACTGTTTTGGTCAAAGCGTTAGAGAGAGTGATGAAGAGAAAATTGGCAAGTATTTTGGAAACACCTGCCTTCTTTCGAAATATAAAATAATTTAGCATCCGGACGAAGAAGTGAGCCAATTTGTAGTTCGCGAAAATGATGTTAATAAAACCGTGTACGCAACTAAAGGAAAATTCGTAAGTTTTCGAGACGCTGTCCAAATTCTTGCGAATTTCCTCTGTGATCATCGCAATTCAGTCTTATCATTGCTTACGATTTCGTACGCATTCGGCAAGGCGTAGACATTTCAGTCATTCAGTAAAAGAAGGTGGAGGTTGGATGGACCAAACATGGAGAAGGCCACACCAGTTTCCAAAGATGAGCCATTCGCTAAGCATTATGCATGCTATAAAAAACACGGAAGTACTAGTATGGTCAGGAAAAAGTGGAAGAATAATGTTTGATGAGCTTTGGATTTGCTAAGTTTCGATGAATTTGCTACCAAAATTTTTTTTTACTTCTGATCCTGCTGCATGCGAGTTTTGAATGCTGTCATTTCAGCTAAGCTAGATCCGGTAAGTTGGCCAAGACAGCGCATGTCGTATGTTCGCTACGGAATATCCTAGTAAAGCAGAATTTTTCTTCCATTCCACCAAAAGCATCCTACAGCCTAATGATGCCTGCATTTGACAATAAAATCTGAGGCATCCATAGTCGAGTAGATTTACTATAATTCAGGCGCAAATTTTACCGAGAAATATCGGCGCAAAGACGCTATAGTTACCAACAAATCTACTTGACCGTATGTACAAAGCGCACACGATGGCGCTCGCGAGTGGGACAAAACCTTATAATACTGTGAATTTCGAATAAATCTTTGAAATTTTGGGACAGCTATTAGCACACGTCCAAGCTGAAGCGACTTGGACATAGTTATAGTTATAACATGTCTCTTGACTGATTTGCTTGTCTCCTCAGTTACTTGCAAGAAATAGAATATTTCTTAATCAAAAACATACCATACCACTTCCAATCTCACATCACAGTCATATAAATGAAATTCTCGAAATTTGCTAAGCGCACTATAGCTTATGACATTAGCCATTTGCAAGACTTCATACACTAAACTCAGATATTATGGAAGAAAGCGACTGCGTATAATCCATATAAACCGGTGAAATTGAAAGAAATGCTGACATTGCTGCGTTACCTTCATCAGAACCAGCGGAGGAAGCTTTGCAGTTTGAAAAAAAGATTTCTGGGGAAGGATTCTTGATCGAAGTGGGGTTTCCAAGTGAATTGTATACTTATAGAGCATGGAAGCCTGATCTTAAATATGCCTTTGATATCTGCAAAGTGCTTTTGGGGAGGGGGGGGGGAAGTTATGGGAAACTTTTGAAGCAAGAAATTGGAGGCGTGGCTACAATCAGTTTAATCAGAACTGTAGTATGTGAACTACTCATAGAATGTTATGCCTAAACATTTGTCATGAAGCGGAAGCCTTCTATTACTTTTAGGATACCGAACTGTAAATTTAGTTTTAGTCTTTGAAAAGTTATTGAATTTCGTTTGAATTACGCAAGAGTTTTCGCGCCAACCTAATATAACATCTATTCTGTACACATCAAATCAAAAATGACACCCTTTTTTTAGAAAAAGGGCACCTGCACAACTCATCGACTCCGATCCGACATGCATCATGAAAACAAGACGACGTAGATGCAGAAGAACTTTGAGAACCAAGTTTTCATCGCATATCTGCTTTACCTCTTTACTTTTAAGACCAAACATTTTCTCTCATCACTACCACGCTGCCTTGAAAATTGCATTGATTCCTTTGGCTACTTTTGTGCTCACGAGTTCAAGAGATTATTAAGAGAATTGATGAGCGCAAATCGCGCCATAGTTGAATATCACAACATCACTGACTCTCGCGCTGAAGCTCAGCTTTTCTTCCGGTCTGCATGAATACGGGACAATAAAATGTCTGGGCAGTAATCTTCTGATCAAAATGCCGGTGTCGGGAATTTCTCGCGACAGTTTTGGTTGAGTCCCGCAGCCATACGTTACATAAGTTTTCTATGCGCGTGTTGACCACGAATGTCTGAGAAATTGCTCACAAATGGTCAGGGATAATATGTTTCAATCTATCAAGGAAAGAGGAAGCAAGGCCGCCTTTTTGTGAGCCCCCAACGCGGTACTACTGGTCTTCAGACGACAAACTGCACGAAAAAAACTACTTGTCCGCGAAGGAGGATAGCGGAATTTGTTTCCTGCCCATTCAGAGCAAGTGGGTTGAGACTGACTATCTGGTATAGTACTAACAAGAGCAGTGCGCTTTACCGGGGAAAAGGTTTCCTTTCCCTTTCATCTTTCAACCGTATTTGATGGCAATCTCAAAAAAATCTCCTAAGTGGAGAGGTTCCATAGCGCTGTTGCAGTGAGAATGTGTTCACAATATTTTGGGCTTTCGAAACACACGGGGGAGACCGGATCAATTAGCTTGGAAAATATTAATGGCTAAAGGAAGAGTGTGTGTGTGTGTGTGTGTGTGTGTGTGTGTGTGTGTGTGTGTGTGTGTGTGTGTGTGTGTGTGTGTGTGTGTGTGTGTGTGTGTGTGTGTGTGTGTGTGTGTGTGTGTGTGTGTGTGTGTGTGTGTGTGTGTGTGTGTGTGTGTGTGTGTGTGTGTGTGTGTGTGTGTGTGTGTGTGTGTGTGTGTGTGTGTGTGTGTGTGTGTGTGTGTGTGTGTGTGTGTGTGTGTGTGTGTGTGTGTGTGTGTGTGTGTGTGTGTGTGTGTGTGTGTGTGTGTGTGTGTGTGTGTGTGTGTGTGTGTGTGTGTGTGTGTGTGTGTGTGTGTGTGTGTGTGTGTGTGTGTGTGTGTGTGTGTGTGTGTGTGTGTGTGTGTGTGTGTGTGTGTGTGTGTGTGTGTGTGTGTGTGTGTGTGTGTGTGTGTGTGTGTGTGTGTGTGTGTGTGTGTGTGTGTGTGTGTGTGTGTGTGTGTGTGTGTGTGTGTGTGTGTGTGTGTGTGTGTGTGTGTGTGTGTGTGTGTGTGTGTGTGTGTGTGTGTGTGTGTGTGTGTGTGTGTGTGTGTGTGTGTGTGTGTGTGTGTGTGTGTGTGTGTGTGTGTGTGTGTGTGTGTGTGTGTGTGTGTGTGTGTGTGTGTGTGTGTGTGTGTGTGTGTGTGTGTGTGTGTGTGTGTGTGTGTGTGTGTGTGTGTGTGTGTGTGTGTGTGTGTGTGTGTGTGTGTGTGTGTGTGTGTGTGTGTGTGTGTGTGTGTGTGTGTGTGTGTGTGTGTGTGTGTGTGTGTGTGTGTGTGTGTGTGTGTGTGTGTGTGTGTGTGTGTGTGTGTGTGTGTGTGTGTGTGTGTGTGTGTGTGTGTGTGTGTGTGTGTGTGTGTGTGTGTGTGTGTGTGTGTGTGTGTGTGTGTGTGTGTGTGTGTGTGTGTGTGTGTGTGTGTGTGTGTGTGTGTGTGTGTGTGTGTGTGTGTGTGTGTGTGTGTGTGTGTGTGTGTGTGTGTGTGTGTGTGTGTGTGTGTGTGTGTGTGTGTGTGTGTGTGTGTGTGTGTGTGTGTGTGTGTGTGTGTGTGTGTGTGTGTGTGTGTGTGTGTGCGCGCGCGCGCGCGCGCGTAGTACTAGTATCTATGCTTCTCCCTCTTTTTCTTATTTGAAAAACAAGAAAATTAGTAGTCCTTGGGCCACTTTACCAAAACCAAGTGGAACTTCTGTAAGCTTTTCACGTAAGCATTTTATAAAGCTCCGAGTGATCCCAGCATTCAGCTAAGTTTGAGTCAAAGTTTTGCTCACAGGGAACGATACTCAATGTCCGTGGCCTTTTGAGGCGAGATGCATACCATTACGCTCGCCTTCGAACGCTAATTCCGAATCTGACTTCCGTTTCTGCTAATCGTTTCTCTGAAAGAAGTTATGGAGGAATTTCGAGCCAACTTTGGTCGCCCAAGTCTATGGTCGCTGGAACGGCCTCTACCGGCGCCACGTTATTGCTTAGCGGTTAGTCTGATAGCCTCATAACTTGATGCAAGTGTAGGTTTAAATCTTTTTGTGTTCTTATTTTGCACTGCCAATTAAACTTTTTCAAGATTTACTCGGATTATGATCATTGGATACATTTTAGCGCAGATAGTTACCATTTTTTCCAAATTTCAACATTATTTGAAAAGTAAGGGCGTTCAGTTAGCTCGAAGATACGAAAAAAGGTTTAGTGAGGCAATGCAAAACTGAAAAACACGAAAGTACTCGAACCCACATTACATCAACCCATGAGCCCATCGCATCAACCACTAGACCACACCGCACAGTTAGTCTTGGTGCCCCGAGCACATTTCAGTGGGCAGCCAAAACCCGCACAATCCTTTATAACATCTTTGAAGCGATTAGCAGAAACGGAAGTCAGATTCGGAATCAGCGTTCCAAGACGAGTGTAATGGTATACAACTCATCTCAAAGGGCCACGGACACCGAGTATCGTTTCCTTGTCAGGGTCTAAAAATTAACTTTGGTGAGCATTACGTAGCACAAATCTTTCTTGGCAATTGTAACACAATTTTTTGAAACAAATTTGAGCATTTTTCATGGAATTAGGGCAAGCCGAATGAAAGGAAAAGATTTCAAGTTTGAGTTCCCCACCTTTAAAGGCACGGAACCTCGGCCTGAACAAAGATCTCCGAAACCGAAAGTGCATATTTGAATGTAGAAGAAACGAGCTTTCCGTTAGTTTAGATGGTTTTAGAGAAAAACGATTTTTGATTGAAAGGTAGCGTTTAAAAGAAGAGGTAGGAAAAACGTGCATTGATTATGAACCAACCTAATATATACAAGTACAACAAAAAAATGTACGACTTTACGTTTAGAACATATGTATGATCTTTCCAAAAGTCCTTCAATGTTCTCTCGAATAATCCCCATAATCTCCAACCCATACAATTTATGTACCACAGAGTTGGCTATTTTTTGAAGTTTTCATTTTGGAGTTTAAAAAAACTTTGATGACTGTTGGGTAGAGGAAACAAAATGCCGCAAAACTCAATTTTTTGGCATCGATAGCTGGCTTTTCAGTATTCTACAAACAAGTTTTCCAAAAGTTCTCACATTTGTGAAGGCGTAAAATATACAAACGTTTCAAACGCTATGAAATCTTCGCAAATTGGAACTTCTAAAAATAGATTATGACTGAACACTAGTTTCAACGAACAAACGGGTTTCTACCGCCTCGAAATATTAGGTCATTCCGAAAGTATCGCTTTTTTGAAAGGGGCACCACATCTGAAGGAAAAAAGTATTCTGAGATCTCTTGGTAGTATTCGATGCAGAATTTTATTCTCTTCTTAAAGGTCATGGAATCATTGCAGCATATTTACTGAGCTCTCGGAGAATTTCCAAAATCTGCAACCGATGCTTTTTGCTATGGTCAACTTTGCCTATTTTTCAAAATCTTTATATCGATCCTCTGAAGGAGCCTAAGTAGCGAGTGATAGAGCAAGCCCTAC